AGCAAACATTAAGAAATGTCTTCAATCTTGAAAAAATTCCCAGAAATGGCCAGTGGCTCAACTGCAAGTGTGAACAGGGATGGGGATCACTCAGCTCTATCTAGTACACCTATGGGTATGAACTGACTGGGGAGAGGAACAAGGAAGTTTAAAATTTAGAGGCTGCAATACCTGTAATGGCCTAACATTACAAACCTGGCCAGTTACTAAACAAACTGAGATGGTATCTAAAGGTTTCTCAATATCTAGTACAAAAGCATTAAGGCAGATTTTCACACGTCTTTCTTTTTTTTGTCAGAATCCTGTTGCACGGGTATAAATTCCACTAGTATATTTATTTAGTATATTAGTCAGTATCAATATTCATATTTTTAGGTCCAAAACTAAGCAAGAGGGTGCAGATTTCCTTCTTCAGAATGCTTCCTAGATTGCAAAAAAAAAAGAAGACTCACAAGATTTATGTTTATCTAACCTGTCAAATAAAAGCCTAACTGTATATTCAATATGTGTACTGTATATGTATATTCAATATTGATTCCAATTTCACATATCATGTTGGATAGTTCAAAACTACTGTAGTTTTTAATTTGATACTCAGCTTTGAAGATCATTGATTCTGACAGAAAGAAGTGACCTTATAAATTGCTTATTAAATACATTACTAGATGTAACTGTGCTTGTTACAACTGAATGCTCATATCAAATATGGTTGATGATGATATCCATGATCAACTTATATTTAATGCAGTTGGATGTGGGACTACATCTGCTGGATGACTGCCCAGGTGGGAGTTGTTCATGTGGCGTGATTGGAGTCTTTTAAATTATTGTTTCATAATGTAACAGGTGAGGTGATCCATGTGGAGCAACTTCCATTTACTGATAGATTTAAATCATAGAATGCTTTAGGTACTTTTTGGACATAGCTGCCGAAGGCAGCCAAGTTAATAACCGAGGCAAAGTGAAGTGAGCCGAACGCCATTGGGCTATTCACTTCGACCCTGTACGGCTCATTTCTGCTGTACATTGGCTAAAATCACCCGTACATCGGCTGGCTTCGGTTCAGCCGAACATGCTCAGCAAGTTCGGCTGAGCCGAAGTGAAGAACATGTTTGACTCAGCTTGGCAGGTCCCGGCCAATGAATAACAACTGGGTGGAGCTGGCCGTGATTTCCAACTAGGAAATAGTTGGGTGAAGCAAGCTGTCACTGCTAGCTCTGCCCAATTGTTTTCTTTTTTTAATTATTCTTTTTAAAAAAAATCTTTATCTATTTTTTTACATTTATTATTTGTTTACATTTTAAAAAAAATTTCTACTTTTTCCCCCACTTTTTTCATTGAGTTCCTACTCTACCCGGTACCATGGAGGTACAGAGTAGAATAGCCGAGCCGAATGCTGCTTGCCGGCATTGGGCTATTCACTCACTACCTATGAGAATAGGGGCGAACGGTAGTGAGTGAGCTGCTGGAGCTCTGTCTCAGCCAATCCAGATGTTGGATCGGCTGAGTTGAACTCCTTCTGCACTTCGGCTCAGCCGAACATGCAGCGCATGTTCGGCTGACTGAAGTGCAGCCAAAGCCAGATGAAGTACAGCTGAAATTGGCTGTACAAGCCTGAAGTGAATAGCTGAACAGCGTTCAGCTCACTTCACTTCGGGTGGGTTACTCACTCGGCTGCCTTGTGAATAACCCTATAAGAGAGCATTGAAACATACATACTGGTAGCATGCAATCCCCCTTATCTGGGCATTGTCTATGCTCTTCTGTAGCAAACCAACATGTACATACGTTTTATTAAATGTGATTTAATTCAACTATATATTATGTTTGAATTAAAATTTTCAATAGAAAAATGAGGTATAGCATCACACAGGTGCACCCATAAGAACTTACTGTAGCTTTTATCTGTTTTATATAAATACTTATATTGTGGAGTAGCGATAATCTAAGAATGGAAAAGCCCTTTGGATATATGAATGTCCTATAAGTAATCTGCTCCAGGTGATGCTTCATACTGAGCACCAGAAGTAAAGATCTTGCACCATTGTAAAATAAAGATGGAAACAAGAGTCTGTCCCAAATAGGTTTTCATTACCGCCTGTTGAAGTCAGGCAAGTACTGATGTAACTGGTTGGGGTCTGTTTTTCTGTCCTAATGAATGTGAAGTCTGAGCTAGGATTGTGCAGGCAGTTTAATGTGGACTGTAAATTTTACTAGCATGTGTTTGCAAAATAGGATTTATGTATCATGGATATACTGTATACCTTCAATAGCAGCAAACAGATCAGTATTTACTCAGGATGTGTATCATGTGATAACTGTTTTAGCCCCTAAGCTTGCTGAGACAATTACTGCAGGATAAGGGACATGTAATTATTGCACACAGTGACATATGTACACTAGGTAGTATTGATCATGCAAGACTTTGCGCCTACAGTAAAAAGACTATGTAGATATCATGCAGATGTCATCCATTGTTACTAATTATGGTGGCCAGATGACCACTAATTCAGTGGATGCATGTTTCATTCACCAGGATTTTAGGAGAGACTAGGATACCTTTAACCATATGCTCTTTGTAGAAAGTTGTGGATGCAGTACACCTCTTGTATCACTTGCCCCTTCCTCTAGATAGGAAAGCTCTCACATGCAGGGCCCTCCTTACCATCTTGTCTTCATTTGTATTGTAACTGTAATGTCTCCCTTATACTGTAAAGTGCTGCTCAAACTGTCAGTGCTATATAAATCCTGGATAATAATAATAATAATAGTAGTAGTAGTTGCCTTTATCTGTGATGATAAATATTTGGATTACAATTCACTTTTTTTTTTTTAGCATGTAAATTTTTATTGAAAAGGTTTACTACATACATACAGTTCGTATAACAAGATATAAAACAACAACATAACTAGTCATTGACCGACATAAATGAGAATAAACAGTCACTCATAATGTTAATGTTACACCACAATCAAGCCGTAAAGTCTTCGGGGGATAGGGGTACATATGAAATGATCACAATTCACTTTTAAACATCTGATTGGATAGAGTCCAGAATTATATAAAGGCAATCATTACATTTACTTCTTTAGCTTTAGTTAACAATACCTTTGAGTATATATCTGTTGACTTCATCAGCACATTAGAGGAAACACCACTTTATCTGATTCATAAAATGTATGCCATTTCCACTGCATTATATAGAAGCACACTGCTACATTTGTATACAAACTTTTCATTACACCTAGGCAAAGACTGCTTAGATTGTTTACAGTTTACAAGAAATGTTGTTCAAGTTTAGCACCAGCATGGGTTTGAGGTAAAATGTCCAACAGTATATTCAAATATCTAAACTTCAGAAAATCATGCAGCAATGGTATTAGATGCAAAAAGTGTTCTCTTTCTCTAGTTCATAAAACCCACTGAGGTACATCCAACCAAGTTATACTCAAATGTTTTACATTCAGCAATAACCGTTTGCACAGTTATTGGGTGAAGTTAACTGTAACACTACGTTACTTTGTCCAGCTACAATATTAATAATTACCTCAAATACTATGCAACTATTATTATATTATAATGCTATTATTATTATAGTAGTTCCATTTAAAAAAAATGCATATTCATAAAGAAAAAAGTATAGTATATTTTTTTTCTGTTTTGTCTAGTTTAAAGGAGAACTATGAGATGAGTGATTTCCACTCACCTCAACCAAGCCAAGAATAAGTCAGTTAGGAAACAATGAATGCAGCTGTGTTTACAAAACATGTTAAAAAAAAAAAAGCATTTCCCCCCTACAGTCATGATATTAAAGACAGCGTTCCATTAACACTGGTTAATCACTCAAACAAAATGTGAAACAGAAATAATATCTACAAGGTTTTGAATTTTTGTCAATAACAAGCAGCAGCGGCACATTCATTCCACACAGCCCACTGATTTTTTCATTGGGACTACAGGGTCTGAACCTGAACCAAGCAATAACTAATGTAAACAAGTCAGTTATGTTACGTTATATATAAAGATGAATGTATTATATTCACTGAGTGTATGTGTTTAAAGTACCGTATATCTAAAACCAAATCTTTTTTTATTTTGAATAAATTGGGGAATTTTAACACCCCTTCCAGGTTTTTGCCATCTGTGTCCCTCTAGACAGAACTGGAAGTAAGAGGAAATCCTCTACTACTGGAAACTTTCCCCTCTATTGCTGTTCCAGTGAAAACTCAGCTTTTTGGATTTCCTCTCGCTTTCAGTTTGGGTGACAATGATCATCAGGACAAATAGGGTGAATCATTTCAGCATGGACACAAACAGAAATATAACAAAGCCTAACAAAGGTTCTAAACCTTCGCTAATTAATATAAACAAACAAAAATTAATCAGAACACTGAAACATTATCCCTTTTCCCACCCCCTGTGTATGGCTCTGAAGTCTCAAACAGAGTGAACCTGAAGGCAGACAGCTGCTGTTGTGGTCTTCCTTTAAAAACCCCAAAGTGTTCTGGGAAGCATATGTCATGTATTATAATGTTATAATATATAAACAGATATAAAATATCAGTATGCAACTGTTTAAACTTAAAAAAAAATAGATTGCTACAGAGAGAATATTACACATCTGTAGGCACCTTCATTGCATGCCAACAATTGCACTGCTGTATGTGCCAAATGGAAAACAAACATTAGTCAGGATGACCACCGAGAATGATATGCCTAAAGTGAAGGATACTGGTACCACAAATGTGTAAGCCCCTTTTTGGCCACCCTTTTTATATGTGATCAGCATCTTCTGGTGTGTGCTCTAGCTTTCAGGGCAATAATGGTGGAAGTTCTATAAAAGTAAATCAGTACTATATGATACTGAAGGTTTTTCATTCATTTATGGTGACTTGTGGAAAAGCTTCTGTCTGAATGAATAGAGGTGATAAAATAGGCAGCATATAGCAGCATTGATTGATTTGAGGTTACTATTGACAACAGTCAAAGTTACTATTACCTGCACAGCCCAGAGGTAGTCCATGCGTAATTTCAGGTCCACCTGTCTAGAATGGAGTGCCAAAGAACAGGAAAACAGCAAAATAGCTAGAATGGGTTCATAACCTCGCATATAAAAAGATCCCCGTCTATAAAAGAAAACAAAGAAAAAATAATTTATTTCAGTTCAACAAGAATTTGATGCAATAGTAGAAAGTTACGAAAAAAGTTTTTTTAATAAGCAAAAATAAATAACTAAACATGGAAAGAATGTTATATGGGAATGTGTTATATCTGTTTATTATCTCTAGACTGCCAATCGAGTTAAAGAGCAATTCCAGACAACCAGTGAAATTATTAAGTGAATTACTAATGCTATCTAAGAAAAACAATTCTTTGAAAGATAAAGGTTGGCTGTATTTTAAGTGCAATCCATTCCGGTCAGATTCAAGAGAGCTCCTAACATGTGCTTCGTAATTTGCTCTTTTTTTTGATAGGTCAGACTTCATCTGAGAGATATCTACAAGCGTATAGTGGGTAAGTTTGGGTTGCCACTATTGCATTTCAGATTGGTAGGCAACATGGGTTCTAATGTCATTAGATTTCTGACAAAGTAACATGGTACAGTATAACACATCAGGATGAAAAAATAAAGCCCTAAGCAGGCGCTTAAACATTTTTTTAGGCTCTCCAAGGGCATATATTCAGAAATACTGCCAGACCACAAGCCACACCACAGAGACTAAGAGAGGCTGTTTAATTGGGTAAAAAGATGGCTGCAGGTACCATGGGGCAGTGGTATAGTGAGTATAGAGCAAAACTAGTTGATAAAGTCATGAATAGTTAAACTGATTTGGAGGGCTATAGTAAGAACAGAAATGACAAAAAGTGGGAGAAGTTTGTTTGTAAAATCTTGTTTCAAGCAAGCTTGGGCTGAAGATATCTGTAAAGAGTGTGACCACGTGGAGAGTGTTTTAGAAAATATACATGATGTACATAATTATAATTTACTTATTGGAGTTTGCTATAATCCACCTTACGTGCCTGTAAATTATACTGCACAGGATACAACACTGCTACAAACATGCAACAAATAGAAGTTAGTTCCTTGCTATGGGTACTTATATGGATTTTTAAAATTACCATACAATAGGGAGAGAGTCCTTCCTTTTATGCAACTGTGAAGGTGACATGGGAAAAACACCAATACTTTTAATTTCATGCTTGGGAGATGCCTCTAAGCTGTAAGTGGTGTTATGGGACATTACAATTCTCATGGGCAGCGTCACCAACATCATATGCTGACATGATATATTTACATGTGTAATAGTTACTTTTACATTATTGCTTGGCTACAGCATCAGCAGCACCCCAATCTGGTTCATTACAACTTAAT